TTTAGACCCGCCCACAAGCTCCTTTTCTTGTGTGATTGGCTGTCACTGTTTTGCAGCTGAATCTGGTCTGTGATTGGACGGTCAGAGCGCTGCTGATGTCATACGTCTCGTGTCCTTACGGTCTTTGAGAAGAACGCAGGTCTGCAAACCGACGGTGAGGGAATCTGCTGCCAGCATCTTTCTTCTCTTGGGTCACGTTAGAACGGTTATGATATCAGGATGATTAATTCACAGCATCTTTGAATTGGTCTCATGTTTGTTCGTTCGTTTGGTCGTCAGACTCTCAGCCTGGATGTCTGAAAAAGAAAGAGACATTAGAGACAGAAGTGGCTCCATGAAGCAGCAGATCCACTTCAGGATCCTCCTCCACATTTTAAATAACTTTGGAAAGTATATTAGTTTTATAAAAACTGCTGATAAAATAAAACATAAAACTTATATATTATTATCATCATCAAAAAGAAATAAATATATATACATCCAAGCTGATAATAATTGTAAATCTGTGTGTTTTTAATGGATTGATTGATGCTGTTTGACTCATGCATCCAAATAATTGAACAGGAAGCTGAGATGCAAGAAGAAGTGAAGGAAACAAACATCTGAAATAAACATTTTGTCCATCAGTTGCACTAAAAGTTCACACTCGTCTTTTCACCAGAGTAAAATACCGTTCAAATGAGAAAAGTTATTTCTGGACATTTTGATGGAAACACAATAAAAATAATTTTAAAACGACTAAAAGGTGTTGAACAAAGATATTTGCAATGATGTCATCAGAGAAGTGCAGATGATTAGAGGAAGAAAAGAGACTTCCTGTAAGTCTAGTTCATCCTGAGCAACACGATGAAAGCAAAGGAACCATGAGGCAGAGATCTGAATTAATCCAAAGCTTCTAGAAGCATCCGTCCTCCTGGATGAATGAAGAAGTCGGCCAGCGGCCATTTTTGCCCAAATCTAGTAGCCCCTCCCTCCTGCCATCTTCCAGCAGTGACGTCACGGTGCGGTAAGCCTAG